ATGATGATACTGGATTTTTAACACATTGAATAGCAATAATAATAATAATAATAATAATAATAATAAAAACTCTGTAAGCGAGTGGTAATACTACAAAAAGAGGGAGGGGAGGGAGAGGAAGTCCTTTTTTCTCAGAAAAATGAAGAAAGGATAATAGAATTAGGAAAATCTCCATACTGCTGCCACCGATGCAGTGATTGATTCAGGCAAGGTATCGAGAGCTGCTGAAATCACTGGGCGAGAATTTGGGGAGAATTCGCGCAGGATATTCACAGTCTCAAGGGCCATAATTCGTTACACTGATGAATTATTCTTTACAAAGGGGAAGATTAACTTTACAGTGGAGAGATCTGTTGGCAGCATTTTAATCAAACAATCACATTCAGCATCACTAATGACAGGAGCAGCTGGCAGGACGCCCTCCTTATGTAATGCACTGGGAGGATGGCGGAGAGGACGTGACCTCACCTCTGCAGTGTTACTGCCCAGAATGTTCCACCCGGATCTAATCACGAGGAAACTATCTGATACGCCCAAGTGGAGGGACATGCAACCAGACAAAGGGGCTGTCTCTTAAAAAATCTCATGAAAGGGGAAAAAGCAGTGTGGCTGGTACAGTGGGTGCTACTCATTCTAGATCAGATACCAGAGGAATGTAAACCACCAAATGAAGTGTCTGATTCTTGATGGAATCCTGGATTGAACAAAGTCAAAATAAAACAGCTGCAAAGGACATTATCAAGACCTTAGGGGAACTGGAGCTACTGACTATAGGATGATAGACTGTGTGTCCATTGTATTGTACTGGTGTATAGACAGTATTGGAACAATGTAAAACATTTTGGTTATTTTGGTGTTTTGCTGTATAGAAGAATGCTCTTGTTTGTCGGAGACACATGGGTACTTACTGCAATATTTAGGGGTGAAATGTTGTGGTAGCTGCGTCTCTCTCTTTCTCTGCTGTCTGCTCTCTATGGAGCCATAGAAGGAGATGGGTGTGGGGAGAGAGGGCGAGACAGGGGGAAGGGAACACATATGCCAAAGCAAATATTGGGGTGGAGGGTATGTATACGGTGTTCATTGTCAGACCCCTAGCAGTTCGGTGGGTATGAAAATACTGCAGTTAAAAGCTGGAGGACAGTGAGGCTGTATCTTTCCAGCCTGGACAGCTGGCTCAGGACTCAGACCTTTGACCAGCAGGTAGTATCTGGGCCTCCCCTGACCTACTTCCCACCTGAGGACCTCGCCCCTCAGCAGCCACAGCTCTACTCCCTGCTGGCCTGGGCCACTGATAGCAGGACGGTTGTCCCCACCTGTCCAGCTCCTCCTCCGCATCGCCCCTCCTAGTGCCCCCTGGAGGGAAGCTGGCAAGTGTGGGGGGAAGCAAGCAGACACAGAAAGGCACCCTGCGGTGTCCTTTGGAGCCCCTGTGACAGCCCACGGAGGTGTGAGGACACAGACACCCATAGCTGAGGGACATGGGACACACAGGGACAGGTTTGCCCTTGCTCAGACCTGTCGGCTGAAACCCTGCAGTGACTTCCGTTTCTTGGAGGGGGACCGCTGAAGTCCTCACCATAGCATACAGGCTCTCAGTCGGCCTCTGTCCCTCCTGGACCTCTCTCCCCTCGCACGTGCTGCTCTGGAGCACACGCTTCTGTGTCAGTTCTGAGCGCACACCTGCCTCAGGACTTGTATGCTTGCTTGCTCTCCTGAAACCTCCCCTTGCATCCACGTCCTTGTACCCACCCAGCCCACCGCATCTCCTCTTGTCTTCCTTGCTGGCTCTATTTTTGTCTGGCTCCTGAGCTACCGTCCCTATCTCACATGTCTGCCATGTTTATTGGCCATCTCTCCCATTGGAGGGCAGTCACTGCATCTGTCCTGTTCACAGCTGAATCCCAGCACCTAGAACAGCACCTGCTACACAGCAGGTGCTCAGTAAAATGTTCCCAAGTGCCAGGCTCCTGCTTGCCTGTGTGTGTGCCTATGTGTGCCGGGCAGGCTGTGGGGTGGTGAGCCAAGCAGGCCATTCTCTTGAGACTTGTTTTCTGGGGTGTAGGCAGAGTTCTCAGATGGGTGAATGCCTCTCACAGTATCAACACATTACATTATCTGGCACCGGGCAGAGGTGAGGGGGCAGACAGGGCCTTTATTCTGTGTTTGCCCACGGAAGCTTCCCTAGGCCACATACTGAGCTGCCAACCCTTCAGCTTTGTGCTCCCTAATCATCCCGACAGGGCCCACCGCCCATTCACCCTGCCCACTGGCTCTGAAAGGGGTTTGCACAGACGCCCCAGGCCTGGGAGGAGCTCAGCCCTGGCTAAGACTCAGACAGCATTGCCTGGGGCCTCAGCCCTGCCTGGGCACTGGTGACCCTGGAAGGCCAAGCCCACTGGCCCGCCTGCACATGCCCAGGGCTCCACGTGAGACTCTGTCTGCCCACTGACCTTTCCTGCACTAGGATTCATGCCTGAGCTGCCTCCAGGGCCACAACCCAGTGCCTCAGGCCCCCTTTTGGCCACAGAGTGACCCAGGGAGGGCCATGGGGTTCTGGCAGCCTCAGCACCACCCCTCATCTACCAGAGAGCTGGGTTTGGTGACTGACCTCACAGAGCGCAGGACGTAACGCGTGTCAGAGGCCCAGCTCCCTCTAAAGAGGCCAGCAAGAGAGAGCTGCTGTTGTGGTCCCAGTCACAGAGGGCTGCTCTGAGCCCAGGCTCGTGGCTAGGGATCCAGAGTCTTCCATGCATTCAGCTTCTGCTTTCCTGGCACTTTGAGCCCAGTGCAGGGAGATAGATATAAACAAATAAAAGTAAGCAGCAGGCAGTGGGTGCTTTGAAAGAGAGAAATCAGGGCATTGTGATGGAGAGGGTCAGGCTGACAGGGTGGGCTTCCCTGCAGAGGGAACGTTTGAGTGGAGGCCGACTGAAGTGAGGTCTGAGCCACGCATATGGCTGGGGTAGGGAACGCAGCACACGCAAAGGCCCGGAGTGGAGGGTCTTGTTGGCTTAGGGGACAGTGTAGGTGCAGCTGCATAAGTGAGGGGAGATGAGGTGTTGGAGGACCACTAAGGCCTGTAGGCCATCGCAAGGTCTTGGGTGTTTCCTCCCAGAGCTAGGGGGAGACTTCAGAGTGTTTTGAGCTGAGTGATAGTAACCAGAGCCCATTTTCAAAGGGTCCCTCTTTTCCAAAGGCTTCCATGTGGGGAATAGATTTGGGGTAAGGGGCAGTTGAGAAGCAGGGAGAGAGGCCAGGAGCCAGCACCATAACCCTGGGAGAGGTAATGGCGCTGAGCCAGGCTGGTAGGCATGGAGGTGTGAGAAGTGGCCAGAGTCCCAAGAGATCCTGAAGGCAGAGCCACCAGGATTGGCTGGCAGATTGGATGTGGTGGAGGACAGAGAGGGGGATCCGGACAAGACATGGTAACAAGCTATTGTCTCCTAACAGCTTCTAGGGGTCAAGCCCTTACACACAGGAAACACTTCTAATGACCTCAGCACCCTGAAACCTGCTGTCCTTACCTTGAAGACAGAGAGATCAGGGCTCAGTGAGCGGTGGCTTCTGGCTCGGGCTGGGTATGGCCACAGAGGGTCAGCCCCACCTTTCTCACAGAGACTCCCTTTACAGAGAGGTTGTGGCCCAGGCCAGGCCTCACTCACCACCAGCGTCTCAAACTCCTCCCCTGGGCACACAGAGGACTCTGTGAGCACACTGCCTGACCCAGCAAAATCTCCATGCCTTTTTCCATCTGTGCTTCAGCTACCTGCTCAGGGCCTTGCCGTGGCACCTAAATGTGCCCACACCTCCACTCACACATCCAAGAGAAGCTCAAAGTCAACAGGCTGAAGGGGGCACTGGCTTCCCCTCCTATGCCACGGGCCTCCATCCTCTTCTTCCCAACCCCTGGGGGTGAGGACACCACGGGCCTCCCTTGGCACTTGGCAGGTATTAACTTTCTCACATCCCGGGTCGCTCCATTGTAACAGTGGGAAACCAAGGTCAAGAGCTGTTTGAATCATCAGCCAATTCTGTATAGTTAGAAAGCAGCAGAACAAGGACTGAACTTGGGTCTGTGTGATGTCAGAGCTCATGCAAACCTAGAGGAAGAGAGTTTCTTCAGTGCCTTTTATATGTGACCATTCAGTGTGCATGTGAGGGGGGCGAAGTGCAAGAAACCCCAGTCACTAGGACACCAGGCCAGGGAGGAAGAACTAAATCCAAGGCTTACTTTATACTTTGGGGTTTTGTTCTGGATGAAAAAAGCAGCTCATTCTTGAGATAACCACTGTGTTCCACCACCTAAAACATCGATAGCCGAGGTAACTGGGGGCCTCTGTCTGGCCGCATGGTCCCTGAAAAGAATTTTCAGCCTCCTGAACTGAATTCCACTTAGAATGTAAAATGCACATGTGAAGTGTTTTCTCTGAAGTGGTAACAGGTAATTGATTTTTTTAAAGAAGGCGACCTTTCTGGGCTCTGGAAAACGCTTTCAGGTCTTTTTCTTATTTTTCTGTGCATAAAGGCAATTATCCCAGGTCAGCAAGCGCACAGGAAATGGGACTCGGCTGGTTTTGCACAACACATGTTTGACTGGAGCTTTTCCTTATTGCAAGAAGGATTATTATATCAGCTTGTTTCACATCAGAGAGAAAAAGCAGGCCTGAACCACGGGGCTGAGGTAAGCGATTCCAGAGGGTTTGGAAAATCCCCACCCTGCCTCCACCCACAGCGTACTGCAGAGCAGGGGGAGTCGTTTTCCTTCTGCATGCCTTAGTTTCTCCTCTGGACGACAGTGGTTATCACAGCGCCCACCCCTAGAAATCCCTGGTGGTAAATGGTAAAAATGGCCACCCATCATCCCCTCCCTCTGTCCGTACCCTTTGGTGATCCTCCCTCACCTGACTCTGGCCAACCCCATGTGACTTACTTTGGCCAATGGGGCAAGAGTCAATGCAATGCAAGGAGAGGCTTTCAGAGCACTTGCTGCTCTTTGGAACTCCAAGACCCCATGAGTGAGCCCAAGCTAGCCTGCTGGAGGATGGGAGGCTGCATGAGCCATGTGAGCTGGCCCGGTGAGGACCAACCTGTCAACTGCCAAATAGGTGAACAAGGCCATCCTAAGCATCTAGCTTCAGAGCAGAATAACTTCCCAGTAACCTATAGAATTATGAGAAATAATTGCCTATTGTTTTAATGCACTAATTTTAGGAGGTGTTTTGTTCCACAGCAGCAGCTAACTGGTACATTACCTCTTTGTCCTGTATCTGTTAGGTTCTTTGGTACTTGGGTACAAGGAGAATTAATTGGGAAATTATTGGGAATCACAGCCAGGCTTGGGATCAGACAGGAATAAGAATAGTCACTGCTGGTTTGTCAGGACACTGCCTGTGGAATAGGCCACCCACCCCTTGGGACAATAGCATCCTTGCACCAGTTCTTTCAGGAGTTAAAATCCCATATGACTGAGAAAGTCACATGCCCAGCCTCTGGGGCCAGCCTGTCTCGGGTCGTATCCCACCTGCTGTGCATGAGCAAGGTGATCTCTGACCTCGCTGGTCTGTAAACGGGCGGGGAGCTGCATCCATATTCTGGGTTTATTGCAACGATGAAACAAAGTGATCTGTGGCATTCAGAAAGCACTCAATAAACATCAGTTGGTATTATTATTATTACTGTATTCTGTGGTGGGAGAGAAGAGCTATGGAAATTATCTTGAAGGATTTGTCAAATTACTAAGACTCCATCCAATGTGGGAAAGGTAATTTCCCAAAAGGAAATCAGGGTTAGGAAGAGGGGGATGGACACCAGGTGACCAAAAATGATAAATGGCCTTTGCTGGGAGGACTCAGCCTGGTCATCGCTGGTGAAGAGCCGAGTGTTGTACTGGGTGGCAGTGACCGAGTTCCTTCCGCCAGGGCTGACCTTCTAGCTGGGTGGAGGCTTGCACAGAACAGGTGAGTCCATGACAGCATGTGATTCCTGAGGGCACCGAGAGCCAAGGCGAATGGGAAAGAAGCGGCAGGGTGCTGCTCAGGGGTGACACAGATGAGGGGCCGCCTTCAAGACTCCGGAGTAGGAGTGGTCAGGCTCTTCATTAGCTGCTGCTGGTGTGCGCTAAGCCCCCATGTGCTCCATCTATGCTGTCCCTCACCCCTTCCCCTGGGGCATCCCCTGGGTGGGGGCTCCTAGTCCTTGGGTGCTTCCTGGGCAAGCCCCTTTCCTGCTCTGAGCCTCAGTTTTCATGTGGATGTGATTAAGGTGCTGAATGAATGGGTCAGCAATTATTCAAAGACATTTTCAGGTTCCTTTGTTCCTTGTGAGACCCAAATAAAATGGATGGAAATGGGGGAGGAGGATGAGAGTCCTGCTTGTGAGCTCAGCTTTTCTGTCACCTCCCCTCTGAGGCCCCTGAGACACTTCTGCAGACACCTGAGGCTCCAAGGAGTCCCACGTGCAAACCCTGGGAGCACATAAATGATATCTTGGAGTAGACAGATGTGGCTTGGATCCTCCCTCTGCCCCTGGTGTGCTGTGTGATCTCGAGTCCGTCCCTTGACCTCTCTGACCCATGTGTATCATCTCTCTGGAGGGAATGGGGATTAGGAGGTGGGTCTGGGTTCTAGGTCCCCTGCTCCAGCACGGCCTTGCTCTGGGCCTTGGTGGTCTCCTTCCCAAACTGGGATTCCTCGTTCCAGCCTCTCCAGAGTCTGCCTCTTGAGGGATATGGCAACTTATGGAGTCCCCAAAGCACAGCCTGCCCACTCCTCCCTCCCATACTCAAAGGAGGAGAGAAATCTAGGAGGCCACTAGCAGCCCACACAGCCCAGAAATGGCAGGCCGGCTGGTGGGCAGCTGACCTTGGGGCTCAGGGCCTGAGCTGAGGTCTGTTGCCTAGCAACAGACACCATCCCACACTATGGGTGGCCAAGGGTTCCAGTGGTGGCCAGTGTCGCTAACCCAGACCAGATTTTCCTGGGTACTGGATAGGGCAAGCAGTACTGTCCTCAGGGGCTTGGAAGCAAAAGCTTCCCTCTGTGGGGCATTTGCACACGGTGGCCCTCTGGCCTCCAGCCTTCTGGCAGCTCCTGAGGTGCACAGGTGTGCTGTGTGGTTACTGTTATCTTTAATCCTGACAAAAACTCAGCAAATAGGGATATGACCCCTCTGCACAGGTAAGAAAACAGGAACTCAGCCTGGCCAAGTGTCTTGTCCAGGAGCAGGTGGTGGGTCGGCAGGCAGCCCCTCCACTACAGCCCAAGAAGGGAAGGGTGGAGGCGCCAGAGGTGGTGGGGTGGTTTCCGAGTGGCTATGGTGGGAAAGGTAGAAGATGAGGAGGTGGAAAGAGATGGTGTCTATGGGCCTGATACCTCTCAGGTTGAGGGGACATAAGGTCCCTCCTGCAACTGCAACAAGGTAGCTGTCCCCAGAGGTGAAGTGGCCAAGGCCCCGGGCTGCTGGGGCAGGATGGGCTGCATGGCACCCTGGCTGTGGCTTCAGGAGGCAGTCCCTTCAGTGGACATGCTCAGGAGCATGGACCTGGAAGCTCCAATCTATTTCTTCAGTCCTCCTCAGCCCTTCCCTGGCCATCCAGGCGTGGGTCTTCAGGGAGGGCTTCAGGGTGTGGGATCAAGATCCCTGGAATCCTCTGAAGCCTTCTTCGTGGAGCTGGCTGTTAGCTGAGCCTTCAGTCAATGTGGGGCCTGGGTTCCAAGAGAGAAGGCTTGAAAGAGTCTGCCTCCAGAGCCCATGCTCTCCCTCCAGGAAGGACTGAGAGAGGAGGAGTAACGCTTTACAGGGAGGGCTGCCTGCAGCTGGCAGCTCCCCACATAGGATCCAAGCAGAACCTTCTGTCCCTAAACCCCAGAAAGCCTGGAGGTCAGGGCTGAAGCAGCTGCTCCACAACCTCTCTCCAGAAGGCAGAGGAGCAGGGAGGGCCTGGCTCTCAGAGGCCTGAGCCGGTCAGGCCAGCGAGCCCAGAGAGAGGCCCGAGGCAGAAAGAGAACTTGAAGATGCAAAACTGCCCCTGACAGCTGCTCCCAGTTAGAAGTCTCGCCCTGGTCAGGCCAAGAACTCAGGAATAGGTTGCTTCCTCTCTGGTCCCACACATGAGCGCCACCTTGAAATGTGTGTGTGCTTGGCCTTCCCCACAGCTGGGGGGCCAGCCGCCATGGCTCTTGCCTGGACTGTTGCAGTAGCCTCCTTGTGGTCTACCCCATCCAATTCCAAATCACTTTCCATTCAGTAGCCAGAGTTCTTAAAAACTGTAAACCAAGTGTCACATATCCCCTGTTTAAAGTTTGAGGACTTCCTCAGACTAAAATTCAGACTCCTACAAACATCTCCATCAGCCCTTTGCCCTCCCTGCTCCCTCTGCAAATGCAACGATCTCCCAAATGTCTGCTTGGCTGGTGTTTCGCCAATGGGTTTCAGTCCCAGACAAGTTCACTACGGATTCAATGAGACCAAAGAAATGACAATGGAACATTCTTGGACTGAAAGGATTTATACCCAACTTTATTTCCAGGTGGCAGGTCAGTCACTAGAATCCCATCCACTCAGAGTGAGTCTGCATGCAGCAAGCTGGTCTCTGCCTCTGGGCCTCTCTACCTGCAGTGCCATCTTGGTCTCTGTCCTCGGCGCTGCCACCACTCCAGCCTCTGCTCTGCTCTCCTGCAGCCAGCCTTGCAGCTGTGCCACCGTGTCGCCCAGAGCACTGGGCGGAGCTCTAGAGTCAATAACAACATATGTCCCACACATGTGTAGTGAGCTAGCCAACCAGGACCAGGTGAGAATCCTGGCCACGGGAACCTTCATTTTATCCACAACTGGTTCCTTCTTGTCCGTCTGGTTCCAGCTTCAGTGCCACCTCCCTGGAGAGAGCTGCTCGTTGACCACCCTGGTCTAAGTGCCTCCCCACCCCAAACCCGAGGTCATCGGTATCACCCTGTGATGTCACTCTAGGTGTTTGCTGGCTTTTTTCTGGCCTCCCTTCACTCAGCTCTGGTTTCATGAGAGCATAGACCACATCCATCTGGCCCACTGCTGTGTCCTAAGCATCTAGAGCCAGGCCTGGTACAGACAGAGTAGTTTAATAAACAGTTGGAATGAGCTAGAGGGTTGAATGAACTGCACCCAGAGACACACACATTCTCACTCTGGGCACCCAATCACATGTTCAGACGCTCTCCCACACTTGCAAACACATATCATCCATTCCTGGCTCACACATTCAGCTACCCACAGACTCAACCTACCAGAGAAACGCGAGACTCCGCTCAGGTGCCTGTAAACAGGGCTGCTGCTGCCCTCTCCTGGACACACTGGGGAAGTGCGGTCGGGGTCTTGGCCGACCGGAGGCTAACCTTGTTTCCTTCCTTGCAGACACCAGGGTGATTCCTGCGTTGTTCCTTCCCAGGCAGGGTCTTTGCATCATTTCGGTCTTCCCTCCCGCCCAGGGCCTGGACCTCAAGATGTTCTAACCATGCCTGCAGAGGAATAGGGAGAAGGAGAAGACCACGTGAGTCAGGTAAGCCTGGTAGTGCCCCTCTTCCTCTCCAAGCCAAGTTTGAGGGTCATTGTCCCAGGCCTGGAGTGGGAGGTGTCCTCAGTATTTGTCCTCCCAAATGTTTGGAATAGGATATGAATAAGATGCCAGGATGAAGCCTTGCATTGCATCCTGTAGTTCACAGGGAGCCTCCATGAATGTTTGAGCAAAGGAAGGATGGGATCAAAACTGTGCTTTGGAGGGATGAACCAGTCCATGTACATTCATTTGTCCATTTGTTCATTCCCTCATCCCTCTAACGGGCTCTGGGAAGCCAGCAGTGACCAGACAGAGGTGACATTAGCCTTGGGCATAGTGAGTCCTGGGCAAGGTGAGATTCACATAAGAGCCTCAGCTCCTGCCCAGCAAGCCCTGTAAGCAGAGCAGAGGTGAGAGTCTGCCCAGCCACTGATAAAGTGCAGATCCTGGGGCAGGGCCAAGCTTGGTGCTCTTCAGCCCCCTTTCCAGCCACCCAACTCGAGAGCTACATCTTTTTTTTTTCCCCAGGTCCAATCAAATAGATGCAAATAGCATGCAAATGTATGCAAGAGGTCCTAACTCAGGGTATGTTAAATAAGTGTATTATGGTCTGCCTGCTGCAATTATAGTCAAACTCAGCGTTTAGGATGCGACCAACATGAATTACTGTACTGATTTTCGTATCAGACAGCATAATCACTTTGGAGACAAGATGAGGTAGAGGCCCAGGGACCCGGAGATGCCATATGGGGAAATGTACACATGGGCAGGTGTTTGCAGAAGATTCATTGTATTCAAAAGGAGAGAAAAGAGGAAGGGACAAATTTCATTCTCAGCCAGGGCTGGAGCTTCAGTCCTTTTGGAGGAACATGGATAAGGAGTTAGAAGTCCTGGGTACTAGTCTTGCCTGGCTGCTTGGTAACTTCCAACTAGTCACTTTCCCAGTCTTTTCTCTTCTGCACAACAGCTACATTGACAGGGAACCATGAAGGAGACCATGAAAAGTGCCTTAGGTTAGGGTTCCCAGAAGTTAACCGTGAGACCAGGATACTTACGAAAGTAAGAAAGGATTCCATATAATAAATATACTATGTGATATGATATGATATGATATGATATGATATGATATGATATGATATGATATGATATGATATGATGTGATATGATATGATGTGATGTGATGTGATGTGAAGTGAAGTGAAGTGATATGATATATGGTATGATATGATACATACCACAGCATAACATAACATAACACTCAGACTGTGAAGCATTCCCAGGTAAGTTGATAGAGGATAGAAATCAGGACAAGGAATGGACAGAAGCCAAGCCACAGTAGGTCGTCTCAAAGTCTCACTTTGGATGGATCCTGCAGCAGTGCTTGGGAGATAGCGTAGCAGTGCTCTTGCATCACAGAGTTGCCCCATTTGGGGGGCAAAGGTTTTGGGGTATTTACACTCTTCTCCTCATCAGGCATTGGAGGAAGTGCCTTCCCCTCTGGAGGACGTACATTTCCGGGCCCTTCTCCATGAATACAGGCCAAGGGTTGTCTGCTGAAAGGCAGGGGCTGGCCGCTGGGAGTGAAAGCACACTCAGGCCTGGCACCCAAGGGATCGTCTACCGATGAGGGGAAGTGCTCTGGAAACTGCCAAGTGCTGTACCAGGCTTAGAGAGGGTCCTCATCTGGGCTTTCCTCTGAGCTCACTGACGACCTCTGGCGAGTCATCTCACCTCTCTGGGTCTCTTTTTTCCTGGGCAAATGGCAGCAGCAATACCCATGGCTTGTCATGAGGTAGGAGGAATTGAGAAATGGTAACTATCCTGGTGGGCCGTGGGACGCAACCCCTCATACACCGCTGTGGGGGGCCAGGGGCCGTATCTATCAAAATTACAAATGCACCCATCCTTCAACCCAGCATTCTTTGTAATTGCAAAGAAATTGAAATAATCTAATTGTTAAATAAACTTTGTATACTCATATAATGGAATATTTGGCAACCAAAAGTAGGGTTGGGGATGAGGAAGTGCCCTCTGTACTGTTGTTGGATAATCCTCAAGCTTTATGGTTAAGTTATAAAAAAAGCAAGATAAATAAAAAATCAGGATAAGGAAGAGTGTGTACAACATTTATTTAACAAACTCTTACATAGCCAAGTATTATCTTAGGTGCTCTCTAAAAGTGAATTCATTTAGTTCTCCTAATAATCCTATGAGATAGATATTATCATTATGTCCATTCTGCAGATGAGAACACTGAGGCACAGGGAGGTTAAGTGACCGACCAAGGTCACCAAAAGAGTGAAGGGCAGAGCAGGGATTTCAGGGGTGGGGACTGGAAGAGTCTGTGCCCTTGATCGATGAGCTATGTATCCTCTCTGTAGCTGGAGATTTCTTCTAACCAATAACTGTTTACCTGGCCAGTGATTGGTTTGAGAAGGACACATTCCCACTCTTAGCAATGAGATGCAAGCAACTGTCTGGGGGCTGGGAGGTGGGGCTCTTGGAAAGGTTTTCTCATTGATTAAAGGGGATGTCCAGAAAGCACTGTCTCCTCTGCTTGCTAATGTCTTCATGGTGAAGCTGTCAGTGGAGGCAGACACCCGGTGACTGGCAGGAGCCAAGCCTGAAGACAGAGGCCTTTGCACTCAGGGTGGATGTGCGAGGAGCCATACAGAACCTGGGTCCTTATAAAGCCACCAAGCCACTGAAATAACCACCCCCAGGGCCTCTTGCTCTGTGAGATAATGAATATCTTTACTGCTTAAGTCAGTGGTCCTTAGACCTGAGTGGACATTACCATCACCTGTTAAAACACAGATGGCTGGATATCCCCTTCACCCCTGAGTTTCTGATTCAGTAGGAAAAGCAAAGAATTTGCATTTCTAGTAAGTTCCCAGTTGATGCTCATGTGGGCTGGTCTGGGGACCACACTTTGAGAACTACTGTTGAAGACATTTTGAGTTACAGTTTTTGTTCAGTGACGCCAAAAACACTTCGAGGCAGCGCATGGCTTAGAGCTGTGTGCCTCTCAAGCTCTCTGGGCTAGGGGAGGCCAGGGGTCACAGGTCAAGGGGGAGAGGCAGCATGGGATGCTGGAATGAGCTCTAGGGCAGGAGTCAGGAGCCCAGGATACTCCACCCTCCCTTGTGACCTTGAGCGATTTGTTTCTTCCCTGCACAGTCTGTTTTGCACCATAAAATGAGATTGCAGCTAACTTTCCTTCTGGCTTTGACCCTCTGTGTTCCAGGATTCATTGGAAGGGAATGGTCTGACCTTGGGGACTCTGAGTGGTATCAAGTCAGGTTCCTCCGGCGAGTCACCGGGTCCTCTCTTTCTCTCATCCCCAGGAGGCTGCAGGCTCCTCAGCGTCACGTGCTGAAAGCAAAGGAGGCCCAGTCATTTCTCACATATTAAAGTTCCGGGCAGGAAGCTCATTTGGAGCCTGTGTTTGAGCTGGGAGAAGAGAGGCCGGCACCAAGCCTCCCTGCAAAGGTTTCATCTCCCTAGCTTGAGCTGGGGTGAGTCACAAGCCAGCCTCCAAGAGCACAATGCCCAGGCCCATGGAAGCCACTCCACAGGGGTTTTCAAGTGAAGGTGTTGGGTATACAGACTTTGGCACCAAATCTCCTTCCTAATCCAATCAGTCACCAAGCATTGAATGTCACATATCTCCAGGTGCTCCCTGCCTCTCTGCACTGGATTCCTGGAACCTGCTCCAACTGGTCTCTCTGCCTCTGGGCTTGCTCCTGCACCCTCCTTCCCCATGTGGACCCCTGAGCCAGCTTCTGGATAAAGTCTCAACTGCAGAGCATGGAATACCCACACGGCCGTTCCCAGCCTGGCTCCGCCACCTTCTCTGGAGGTGGAGTCCTCTACGCTCCAGCTGGACCAAAGTACTACAGTTTCTGGAATGTTCTGGGTTCTCTCTCACCTCTGAGACTTTGCACATTTGTGTCCTCTGCCTGAAATACAGTACATCTTTTCTCTCTCTCCATGCAGCCTCTCGGGTGTCAGCATGGGTCCCATCCCAGTAAGTACCAGATACATGGTTTGCTGGGCCCAGTGCAAAATTGAAATATGGATCCCTTGTTCAAAACTAATTGAGAATTTAAAAATGGCAACAGCAAAGCATTAAACCCGACTTGGGGTCCTTCTGAGCTAGGGCCCTTGTGAGTGTACAGGTCGCACGTCTATGAAGCAGAGGCTGCTCCAGACTGTCACCTCACTGTCTCCATCCACGGTCTCCTCCGTGTGCCCCAGTATAATGATCACCTGCTGCTCCCACTTGACTGTGAGCACCAGGGGGCAGGATTTGCATCTGTCTTGTTCTCAGAATGTCCCCATGCCTCCCAGAATAGGTAGTTCATAAATATCTGTTGAATTATCATTCAACACATAAACAATCTGTTCAACAAATATTTTTGCCGAGCCTCTGATGTGCCAGCAATTTTAGGTGCTGGGCTACACCCTGAACCAAAGTCTGGTGTTCTTGGAGAGAGACAATCTAGCAAGGGACACTTGCACTGCCTGGGTTTGTTCTGGCAGAAGCAGACCCTGAAGGCTAGGATTTGAGAGCTACTGGGGTGTTTGGGAAGGACAGGAGGAATGGGTAGGGGACTGGGGAAGTGGGGCAGAAAAGGGAGTGAAGCCATATGGGAAAGTGAGACAGCAAGTTATGGCTGTGGACATGTGGGGTGCAACTCCAAGGTGAATTCTGGGGGATGTTGCTTCACCTGAGCGGGAAGAAATGGGGGTATTGATGCACCACCTCCCATTCTCTGTGGCTGAGGGCTGCTCCTAGGGCCGGCAAACCCGAGGCTTCTGGCCTGGCCCAGTGCAAGCTGAGCGGCTCCTGCTGCCAGACAGGGTTTTCAAGCAGAGACTGGGTGATTGCAGTGGGAAGTCTGCAGGGAGGCCGCCAGGAGAGAGTGAGGGATATGAGCCTGCTGTATGTGCTATAAACAATAATCATGCAAATAAGTAAACCGAGCCCGGAGTGAGGCAGGGTAGGCGGAATGGAGCAAGCAGGCTGGGTGTGCCTGAAGGAAACCGCTGCAGGACCCACTTGACAGATCTGAGCCTCCCACACCTCTGGCCCACCCCTGGCCTCAGGCTGTGGCTGTGTGCCCCTTCCCTCCTCACCTTCACCCTCCACTCCATGCCACAGTGGTCTTCTTTTAATTTGGACCATATATTACAAATTCATAGGTGCCCATGGCATGAGAGATGAGGACACAATTGCCAGAGACTTTTCATTTGGCTTCTGACAATCCCTTGGGGCCCTGCTGATCTCTGGAGAGCCCCATCTCCTCTCCCTCTGGGCCTTGTGGCCTGGAGCTGAGGTCCCCTCGCTCCCCGGGCAGCAGCCCCCGTCTTCTGTGAGGGGCTGCCAATGAAGGGAAAGGGGAGGAGGCCTTGGCTGCGTCTCCCGGTGGTGGTGCCCGTGTCCTGACTGGCTTTAGAGGGAAGGCCAGTAAGGCTGAGACATCAGGACCTCAGTGGGGCAGCAGTCAGCTTCACAGAGAAGCTCGCCCCCTCCCCCCTGACTGGCGGCCCCTGCGAGGTCACTTTTGTCTTGATTTTGCCTTGATCTGCTGCTCTCAGCAGGAAAAGGACTTTGAAATCCAGTGTGAGACCAGGGTTCTAATGTGCTTTCTGGAGGGGCCGGTCCCCGATTCCCTTTTGAGCCTGCCAATTCCCTTGCCCCTCATAGTAATTCGCAAAAGGGAATACTGAGCCCACATGTGGAGCACACGTAACTCACATACCTGATTATTTCCAAATTTCTTTCATATCCACGATCTCGTTTGATCCCAAATGATATAACGAATTTGGCAGAAGTTGTAATATTCTTCTTTCAGAAAAATGGCGGTGGACGTTGAAGCAGGTTAAGACAAGATGAACTGGTCTAGAACCCAGATTTCCTGAGCCTTAATTCAGTATCTTTTCCATTCCACCAAACTGTGTCCTTCCTTCATGAGCCCTCCAGCAGGGATAAGATTTTAGGGAAATATTTTTAAACTTTTAAAAATTGAAATATGACATAGATGAACAGGTACAAATCATAAGCATACAGCTCAGTGAATTTCACGAAATGCACACACCTTTATATCCGACATCCAGGTCTAGAAAGGGAACGTGCCCCCGGGAGGTGTGGACTTTGGTGTCACCACCCAGCCACTACTCATGGGAAACACTGTCACTCTCAGTTTTGGCTTTTAGTGGCATCTTTACCCTCGGGGCAAAATTTCTTTTCTTGAGGGAAAAAACAACAGTTTCCAGGTCAACCAAGTTTAATGATAAAAGCCCTGGGCTGGGGGCCTGGAGGTTTGGGTTCTAGTCTTGACATGGTTCCAAACTCTCTGTGTGGCTTTGGGCGTGTCACTTCTCTTCCTTGGACTGCAGTTTCTCCATCTGAAAAACAGTGATGTCCTCAGGTCTTCCTGCTTGGAGCTGCCTGGTGGCTGAATTTGATCAACAGAATGCAAAGGAAGTGAGGATGCGAGAGTTCCAAGCCAAGGCCCCAGGAGACCTCGGCCTTTTTTCTTGTCCTCTTGGAATGCTGGTGCCATGAGAACAGGCCTAGGTTAGCCTCCTCCTTGTGGAGACAGAGACGCAGCCATCCCAGTGGAGGCCTTTGTCCTAAAAACAATCCTGGGCAATACCATGTGCGACAGATGAGCCATCCCTGCTGAGCCCAGCCTGAATTTCTGACCCACACAATCCTGAGCAAATAAATGATGATTGCTTTGAACTACTACATTTTGGGATGTTCTGTAGTCAGCAAAAGCTAACTGATACAACTCTGCTGGCCTTTTGTACTTAGGTTTGTCATCTCCCTTGTGGTCACAGAATAACTGCTACAGCTCCATAAAAACCAAAGGCAAGGCAAGAAGGGCTAGATCCAAAAAGGGACTGTTTTCTTACAATGTTTTCTTCTTTTTTCTGGGACAAAAATCTTACTCAGTAGTCCTCTTACTTCCTAGGCACCCCATTAGAATTCCTCACCAGTCATTTGCAAAGGGACACAGCCCCATGACAAATATTACCACCCATGTGGTTGCAGGTCCTGTCCTCAGGGAATTCACAGTCTCAGGAAAGCAAACTTACAAAGCAGCTAGCAAATATCAGATGAAAAGTCCAGATGGGCAAGGCTGCAGGAGCTCAGAGGAAGAGGAGGGGCTCTATGAATAATCCAGGAAAGCTTCTTGGAGGAGGCAGCTCCAGGGTCTGGATCTGAAAGATTATGGATTGGTCAGTTTCAGAGAACAGAATTATTCTTGCTAATTTATACAGAAAGAACTCTGTACCAGAGTAATAAATGGCTTAAAGAATTGTTGGAAGGAGCAGCCTTTAGGTTCAACTTCCAGCAGTGACTTCCAAAGCCACATTACCACCAAGCAACTTACTGTCCTACCACAGTGAGGAAGCTGCCTGCCTAGGTGAGAACAGCTGCTCTGCTTTCAGGCTCCAGGACCACACTGCCTCTGCTCTGCAAGCCAAATGCCTGTGCCCAGCCCCCTCCCTACTTTACTCATTTGCACATTTAACAAGGGACACTAGGACCTAAAAGGATGCTCTGGAACCCACTGCATGCTCTCATCAAATCCAAGCCTCCAGCAGGGATGATGCAGGTGACTGGTGGGAGAAGACTTTGCCAGGGGTCTGCCCAGGAGCCTAGCCCAGCATCCAGAGAAACTGCAGAAGCCCCAGCAAAAGCAGCCCCAGCTCCAGCCCCACACCAGCAGGGTGAGCCAACTGGGGCACACTGGGTATAGGGCAACCCAGTGACCAAGCCTGTGTCCACATTTCCAACGAAGACATGACTTCTGCGTGCCTTCCATGTTCCAGCTCTCACACGCATACCTCTCATGGCCAACCCTGGCCAGAACCAGGAAGGAAGAGGGCTTGACAGAATGAATACGAAGTCGCCCCATTAATCCATACTGCCCCATTATAGATTTGTCTACTATTTAATGGAGAGAAAACTAAGACTCAGGGTGCAACTGCCAAGGTCACATCATGAGAAGGGACTGAGTTGAGAACCTGGTCACCTGTCCCAAAATGTGAGTGACTAAACTGCTGCCATATAGAGAATTCTTGGAGTCAGGCAAGTCTGGACACAGGGGGGACCTTCTCATACCGACCTCATGGGATTGCTGGAAAATCGAGTGAGATGACGACATGGAAGCCTGGGGCAAAGTCAAGTTTCATACATGTGCGCGTGTGTATACATACATATATTTTATCACAAGTATATAAATATAGACATTAATGTGCTTCTTTATGCACGTACATTGCATATAAGCAACAAGAAGATGAAAGCCCTCTAAATCTCACCTGTGTAGCCAGATACATAAAGAACGTTATGACAAAGGGGAGGCATGGTAAGTCTTTGTGATTGGCTGAACTTTGCCCCACATATCAACAAATAGAATATAGTGAGTGATGTGGACTATATGCTGAGCCACTCCTTTCTCAAGGTAGTCAGAGCGACATAGCTTGACCAACGTATTCTGGTCTAAACCCACCCCACCCCCATCAAATACTCAACATCAGGAATCAGCTAAGACATCTACCACTCCGCAACTAAAGTTGGGCATGTGACAAAGTAAAATTGTATCGATATTTGGCATCCTGATTTCTGTGGTGAGGAATAGGAGTGGGGATGGCTCCTTGTTGGAAAAATACCTTGATAAATCATGATGGGCAGTGAGGGCTCAGGTGTTGGCAGAGTTCAGGGGTGTACAGTGGTGGGCACACAACTCCCCCCTGTGACTCCCACACTTTATTAACATCTGCCATGTTCATAGATAGTTTGTCTAGCTTGGTTTTCTTTTCTTTGGTAGGGGACAGAACAGTATGGGATCTTTGAAGGGACCCAGAGCAGTACAGAGATGACACCTGGGGAAACAGGAGCTCAAACCTGAAACTGATCAGGCATAATCCTACCTCACCCTGGAAATTCACAGATACCTTAGAGAAATATTTAGCAAGGCCTGGAGCCAAGGATTCTAGCCAACTTATTTAGGTGTCAAGAGTCAGGGAGGCCCAGCTAACACTGGGATCAGATAAAAACATAAAACTATTGCAACTCCAAGTACCATCTTCCAAACACAACAGCAGCAGCATCTGAAGAAGGTTGAGATAGACACATCCAGGAAGACTTCATGCCCAGACCCATGGCCTGGATCACAACTGGTCTAAGCCAAACTCAACAGTC